GGACCGATCGTGATTTTCCGCCGTGCTTCTTCACCTCCCGGTCTTTTTTTTTTTTTTTTTTTTACATTGTTTGGTTTGCCGTGAAGAAGCAGCGTCGGCATCGCATTGTGCCTGAGCTCTTTTTGGGATCGACAACCGCTTTCTTTGTTCTTCGACAGTCTTGCTGCCTTTCTTGGTCTGGGCGTCCTGATCAGGGGCAGCCAGCAATGCACACTAGTAAAGTTTAATCCACACTACGAACAGAGGACATAGGAAATTCACGAGCTGTGGCAATCAAGTAACCAATCTTGAAGGAAGTGCCGTTTATTATTAATTAGTCTTACAACTGAAATGTTCCTTCAAACATTCTCCCCTTCCCTATCTATACCATGCTACATACAAGTTTTCCATTATTGGAAACAGTACCGCATGGTCATCATTTGTCAACTCCTGCACCAGTGTCATCATTTTCTCACTTGTTCCTTGTAGACTGAAAATTGGTTTCTTTCAGCGCTGATTTTGCCCTATAAAGCATGTTAAAGTCACATGGGGTTATACCTGGAAAATAAGGTAGGTGGTTCAGCACTGGAACCCACTTTGCGACTAGAAACTGCGTTGCAGGCAGAGCAATGTCGAGGGACGTTCCTTGACCCTCTGCAAATGCTCCACCTGAAAATGATCTCTTCGTAAAGCAAATTTTAATTGATAAGAGGAGTGGACCACCCACCTTATTCGCAAGATATTGCCCCATCTCACTTTTAGATGTTTTGTAAGGGAAAATCAGAACACAAAGCAACCTACTTTTTAGACTGGACGTGGTAAACAGGAAAATGGTGGTGCTGCGGCAGGGGCTGACACATGATAACTCTGCGGTACTGTTTCCAACAATTTGTATTCAACAGCGTATGGGTGGGGGAGGGTGGAGTCATGAAGCGGACAACAGTTCGTTGTAAGATTGTAATGGTAAATTATGCTTTCACCACCCGCCTAATTATTTATTAACACACCTCATATGCTACCTGCACAACAAAGTGAGTATCCATATCATAAAATAACTTGAGTTAATTATCACAGCTTGTATCAACTTGTTCTGCGCTCTCCAGTTTCCTATAAAAGTTAAAGTTTAAAATTATTTGGTGCTTTCCTGAAATTTACTTAATAAATGTGCGAACACTCTCCACTTTTTTGTAGGTTGCGTTATAACATGATCCAGTACCCCTTACCCACCCCCAAACTCCAGAGACCATTCACCCCCCTCCCCACTTCAAACTCACCCCCAGGCGCGCGCCCCCACTCACCTCCCAATTTCACTGTTCTTCGTTCTCCCTACTTGTACAAAAAAAGTGCAAAATGCTTTCGCATTTTAACGATAATCTGCAGCAATTTCTTTTGCCATCTTCGTAAAGCAATTATTTTGGAGAACAGGAAACATTAATGCCCTTACCTGCTCTCTAGTGTTGCACGGCCACGTGATTCCAAGGAGCTGCTGGACGTGCCATGTGGCCTTTCGTGATCCACGGCCCGCACAGGGAACTCGGCCTAGCCCGGCTCATGCGAAGGCAAAACAATGATGCTGGCAGCACAGTGTTGTGTACCTTGTGTTACGTATTAAAACAGTATACCTTACATCACTCAGCTACTTTTCACGTGTTTGTTCTGTAAATTCCATCACGGTATGATACATTTAAATATATATATATATATATATATAGGGTGTTTTTTTATTCTTACAGATTAGTTTAAAAAAAAAAAACACATGAAAGCTACACTTATGCGGTTTGTGCAAGTGAGTTATACGCCCGGGGGGACATTATGGGGGTGGCTAATCTTTGCGATCAGTTGGCTAATTAATTGAAATTCGTTAATTAACTTTTAATTAGCAAAAATAGGCATATGCTTTCAATTAGAAACTTGCTGGGCGTCATCGAAAACCACTAAATCAGTCATTTTCAGAAAGACTGAGTGCGCGAGAAGCGTAGTAGTGTACTAAAGTTACCACTCGTGGAGCAGGTGCAAGGCTAGCGGTTGCGTTAAGGCGTCCGCGCAATTTTTCCGTCTCTTATCTAGCCCCAGCCTTGTACCTGCTCCACGAGTGGTAACTTCAGCGCACTGTTGTGCTTTTCACGCGCTCAAAGTCTTTTTAGAAATTACTGATTTAGGGGTTTTTGGCAATGCTCAACAAGTTTCTGATTGGAACCATATGACTATTTTCACTAATTAAAAAGTTAATTAACTTCAGCGCACTGTTGTGCTTTTCACGCGCTCAAAGTCTTTTTAAAAAATTTCTGATTTAGGGGTTTTTGGCAATGCTCAACAAGTTTCTAATTGGAACCATATGACTATTTTCACTAATTAAAAAGTTAACGAATTTTAATTAATTAGCCGACTCATCGCAAATATTAGCCACCCACCATAATGTCCCCCTGGCGTATAAATCACTCACACAAACCGCATAAGTGTAGTTTTTGTTTTTTTAACAAATCTGTAAGAATAAAAAACACCATATATATTTATATATGTGGTTCTTTTTTATTATTACAGATTTGTTTAAAAAAACCATAAAAACTATATATATATATATATATATATATATATGTGACCTGATAAAGAGCGGTCCCCGCTCGGAACGCCGTCCAAGAAGTAAATTATATATATATATATACTTGTAACAGAACGTATGGGAATGTGCTGGTTTCTACAACATCAAATATAATATAATCAGATTTGCTTTCAATTATTTGCTCATACTTGAGTCACGTCATGCGCATACCATGATTTTAACATGACACATACCAGTCACATCTCGTTGATACACTTTACCGACTAAGTTGTAGAAATGCCTCGGTACTCACTCTCTACAGACGCAATCAATATTTGTGCTAAGCCTGTCGAAAAAAGAACATATTCATGCAATAAGGTCAGTAAAACAATAGTGCTTGCGGGATCACTTTATTCAGCACTTGTATTCTACAGCTAAGCTCCCAATCAATGACCAGCGGGACTTGCACATATTTTGGAACTCTAGATTCGGATGTGAGGAGGAGTTTGATTTACATTGGCTCCCCGTAGACAGGCTCCACTATCCCCATCATGGAATGTTTCCATTTGACTGTAGGAACGTCAGCGGTGCCCGCACAACTCTTCATGCATTTTTCTTTTTGCCTAATTTCATATCTTGTTATAAGTGCGATTTAGATTTTTGTTTTTAATTTGTCTAGACATACGGTTTCCTTTAAAAAAAGGATGTACACAATTCGCTACGGTCGGATGATTAGCAGCAAGGCATGCAACGTGAAAGCGGCGTGGTAGGCATCGCTTTTTGATATTTAACAGCTGATACTATTATAATTATGATTTATTGTTGATATTTCAGAAACGTTGAGCGAGAAATACAATACGTTAAGGCGTAGGGCGCGTTAATTTCAGTAAAGGTACTACATATTGTGCTGAGAATCACCTCGGACCTACTGGGCGCAACGTTACATCTCTTAGCTACGGCCGCAACAGGGTTAGAGAACTGATGTTCAAGCTGCAACGTCAGGTTTAACAAACATTATTTCCTCATTCGAGTCCGTCATCCCTGTTGATTGCTCGACGACGATTACGATATATGCGCACGGGGAAGGGGAAGGTATTCATGGTACTGGAAACACAGCGTGCAAGAGAGTCTCCGCGCTACCCAAATATGCCCTCGCAATTTTTTTTCCTTGTAGCGCAGACACTTTACAGCTACGATGTAAAATAGGTAACAGCGGCAGTGCCGAGTGAATCCGTGACATTCTTTTTGCAACTCCAGAATGAAGTAAATAGACAATGTATGTGCAGTGTGCACCCTAGTACGCACTGCTTGTGCCCAATTCAGTTCAAATTGGCGTCCAGAACTCGTCCTTGTAGTCATTGTCCTTGTACCTTGAATGCGTGTTGCCATAGAGTACCGCGTGTTTTTTTACGGTTTCTATTAACACTCAGCTGGCACTGGGACAGAGGCAACCGCAGGCACAGATGGCACAGACATAGTGCACGCCATTTGCAATACCGTCTGCTCGGACAGGATCTGACGTCAGCAAGCGCCACTTCTCCCGTGTGTTCTGGTTGGCGGGCGGCGAGAAAAAACTTTTTTCCGGCATGATTGTAAACCTGAGACTGGGGCAGAAAAGAAAACACAACATAAGGTAGTAAAAGAGGAGGCAACGTCTTATTGAGACGTTGCCTCCTCTTTACAATCATGTTCAACTTACACCAGCTCGCCTGTACTCTGACTATTTTTTTTTTTTTTCCGGCGTTTAAAATTGGTCGCAGAGCGATCTCGCTTTCCGCCAGAATTTCTGCCTACTTTCGCCGCCGGGCGTCAGAATTCTCGCGGATCCGGCCGCCAGTTCGCAAGTGTGGACGAGGCATACTGTAAGGCTCGCAATGGTATCCACGCAATGGTTCCGATTGGTCCACACATGCTTTAGAGAGGCCCAGACTGTTTGTTAGTGTCATTAAAAAGTCAATTACGACGTCCTGGTCGTGAGCTCGTAGACACTGAACGTTCAGCATGGTCATTGAGAGATCGCCGTCGTCGTGACTGATGCAGTTGAGAAACGCCTGTGCCCACGTGCGAACAGTGTAAAGTCGATGTTGCTTGAGACGGTGAAACTCGTCTATCAAATCCCGGTCGGGATTGATCTTGATGTGGTGGAAAGGGGAGTCGTCGTGTTTGTTGATAGGTGAAACCCGTCGATGCTAGTACCTCGAGACAAGGCGACGTGGACGAGACGCTGGGAGTGCGCCTTGGCGTAGTCGCATCCACAAATACTTTACTAGGACTAGGGGAGTGTATCTTGATTCAAGAAAATCTAATGGTCTTGAGGCGGACAGAACTTGCCGAGTTGAAACTAGGCAAGGCATGAGTTGGAACTAGACAAGGCATTAGACAGCGCTCTAGACGTGCTGTCTAATGTAGATGAGCCGAGTGAAATGTATTCTACCTAGGAAAGTATTTGATACCCAGGTGACAAAAGCGGGGTCGTGTGCAGGCTACGCCTCCGGCCGAGGATGCTTTGCGGTGTCAGTCACCGAGACCAGAGCGTGATTGTGCTGCGTGACCAGCTGCTCCAAGTTCCGGTCGGCATCGCCCCGTCCGCGATGCAGAAGCTCGCTCACCCCCAGGGCGAGAAAGCCATGGCCAGAGGTGAGTCGGGATGGAAGGTTGTTTGAAGCAGGTGCGCGATAGTCCTCACGCAAAGGGTACAGTAAATGATAAAGTTATCAAGCATCACATATACATATTATCCACAAGGGCGCAGCCATCTTGAATGTCGTCAGTTCTGGTATGCGGTAAAACATCGTTTTCATCTCTCCACACCGCTGGAAGGTGTTTAGGAAAGATCCGTGATTGTCACACATTCTTGTTTTTCCGCTAACTTTGGCGGGAAATGTTTCGCGAAATGTTTAGTGGAAAAATTACCCCCCTAAATTTAGCCGAAAAAATTCCCCGCTAAATTTAGCGGAAGAATTTCCCCACTAAAGTAAGCAGAAAACATTTTTAGCTGCGAATATTCCTCGTTAAATTTAGCAGAAAATGTTTCCCGCTAAATGGGGAGGAAGCAGATGCGGAGGAGGGGAGAGGGAGGAGGGGCATACCCTTCCCTCCTCGTCCTCAAGAACTGCGCTCTAATTCGGCATTACAGAGAATTGTAAACGCCTTCCATTTTTGTGTAAACAGTTGTAGCTGCTATTGAGAACCTATGTATCTTTTTACGAAAGCGCAGCACCGAAGGAAAATGGCAGAAGTCGTGTAACGGAAGTCACGCGGTCAGGCGACGTGATCCAAGCACATTCATTGGCACGCCGAAGTGCTGCGTCTATGCGCCTTCGCATGTTTGAATACCGATCAAAAATCGACGCCGCGTGGATGTGGTCAACCTCCGAGAAAAAATTGACGCTGTGTCGCGGGTAGATGACTTTGCTGCATTGATATCAGTCGCAGAATTCTCGATCGTTCAGCTGTTCTGGCAAGTTTCCATCACTGATCAGTGGTTGCTATTATGCGCAATTAACGACTGATATATATATTTTTTTAATCTACTCGAATAAATCTGAATTACTCACGTCCCATGGCAACACAAACAGAGCAACGCACTGGATCAGCGCTGGACGGGAGGTAGGTTTTCGAGCAGCACTTAATCAAACTCGCTTTTGGCCCACGAGAGCCGCAAGTTAAAAAATACAGTCCTGAAAGTAAAGTAAAACCCTACTCCAGGGGCACATCCACATTCACGAACGTTTAACCCGCGAACTGAAATATTGATTGGTATCCTAGCGTACGAAGGCACAGAGACGCAGCCCTTCGTGATACTTAGAGTCGCAGAATGTCGTGCCAAGGCGTGTCCTTTGATCGCGCCGCCTGACCGCGAACCTTTCGTTCGGTGAGTTGTGCCTTTTTCCTGTGGTTTGGCACCTTCGCAAAAATTTCCACGGCTTCTCGAAGGCAGCTACAACCGTTTGTTTACACGCGGTTTTCCGAAACGCCTTCGGCGAATGACGGCGAACGAGCAGAAAACATGTCTTTCAGCACGCGGCCACCCAGCGTCTGCAACACTTCACCCGGCAGTTTTACACTTCCCTAAAATGGCCGATTCGGAACTTAACGGTGGCCGCACTGGCGCTGCAGCGACTAAGCCTCCGGGGATCCGCGATCCAGCAAATTGTTATAGAGATCAGTGGTCACTGCGCACTGGGGACGCTCTTGATTCTCCCTTTTCCTTTCCGTTTTCACCCCTTTGATGCCCTCAACAAGAAGAAGCCGCAACGATGGTCTCGGTTTGGTCGTGATTGCATTATGTTTATCTCCAGCTTCTTGCAGTAACCGAGATAGGCCATCGTCTTCTTAATCGTTTATGTGTGAAAAAATGCTGGCTATTTATCGCCAACAGCTAAAAATGAAAACCGCCAAATAAAGTCCGCTACAAGAAAAAGAAGAAAACGTAGATGTTTACGTTTGAACTTTTATTCTTCATCGTGTCTGCAAGACGCCGGCAACGACGGTAAAATACGACATAATGGTCTGGACACGAAGAATGATTATAATGGAGGTTCTAATACTTAAGAACAAAGCTCGTTAATGATTTTTGTCATGTAATTACGGTTTGCACGACATGCATAACACATGAGTCTTCCGTGATTAGTAGCCCATTGGACATACCGTCCAAAGTCGAAAAGGAGTGCGAAGCAGAAAGAAATTGCTTAATTTAAGCCAACGCTCCCGACGTGCCCGAAAAACGAAATCGAAAGAAGATGGGGCAAGAGAGTGGAAGTTTCCTCCCGTCTGCCTGGAGGAGGAAAACGTCTTGTTCCTCCCTTCTTCTCAAATCCGCTTGGGGGCGCGTCAGTAGCATGGAGGAAAACGCGCTGTTGTTACCTTTTTCCTCCTTTTTTTTTCTTAGAGTGTGCCGATTTGCCTTCGAGCAAGTGGCTCAAATGGCGTAGTGCGCTCTTTCACAGCTGACCCTGCTACCAGTTTGAGCCGAGACTCTAGTTTAGACTGGGCTGTGTTATTTTTAACAAGCGTGTTGCGAAACCAATCAGCGTTCCGCAAACCTGAGGGATGGTCGCGCGGGGGTAGACACCCCTTGGGGTTTACTTAGTGTTGACTACATGAAAACTAGCGTCGAGTATATTTCCATACTCCATGTCGAGAGCTCAGTTTAGCGCTGTGAGGCACGTACAAGAGCGGGTGCTTTCGGAAGTGCTATCGTGCTGCGAGTTCTTGTGCAAACAAAAAACACCCTGTAGAGACTTTAGATCCCTTGGCAGCATTACAAACAACTTGTGAAATTAAGCATAGAAAAAGAAAGCATATAAATAATTTATCACAGTGTAAAATGAACGCGTACTCCGTATTATTAGAGCATGACTCGTTTTGCTCCGTTAGTTTTTCAAATTGCCACGCAACTGTTACACTCTGGCCTTCTCAAATCACTACACGTATAAAAATTATTTAGTCGGAATCTACGGTCCTCTGGCATAACGTAATTACGAAGCGTATATTTTATGGCCTTAACCGCGTGAACATGATGTGATTACATGTTCAAAAGCTGGGAAGGTGGTACTTAATTTATGACCTCATTAAGTTCGTTATTTTTTGTTTTCACCGAACCTCACCAGCGGCCGAAAAAGCTGGTTCCGTGATGATCCTCAGCACCCTGAGTACTACTTCGCTGGAGGAAGTGCGCCAAGCAGCGCCCAAAGCGAACCTGTGGCTTCAGCTGTACGTCTTCAAGGACCGTCAAATCACGAGGCAGCTTGTGCGGCGCGCCGAGAAGGCCGGTTACAACGCTCTCGTGCTCACGGTGGACGTGCCTAGATTTGGGCACAGGGTGAGCGACATCAGAAACCATTTCAGCCTCCCGAAGCATCTGAGGTAAGGAAACCATATATGCGACGAACCAAGGAGCACCTTTGTATCGGCCATAAGTACAGACTTTCGACATTTTGAAGGGGCGTACTGAAGCGGAATGCGAGTTTCTGGTTGACGCTGCGATCCGACGGAGCCAACCAAGCAGCGGCAAAAGCGCATCGTCTCGGCGCTCGTTCGTCTTTGTACGCTTTCTTTATCACTGGCTGAACCAATCACGAACAGTGAGTTCTTCACAATCCTCCGTTTTTTTTTTGTTTTTTTTTTTCATGCGTGATGGATAGCCAAGGCGCAAAGACGACGAGCGCCGTAACGGGGCGCACTTATGGCGCTCTGACTCCATGGTATCGCAGCGTCGGCTGCGGTGGGACTTCGGGTGAAACGGGGTTATAGCACGTTCTCAAATATGGTTACGCGTTCCAAGCAGACTTCACACTGATAAGGGAGTCGATAAGACAGGCCCTAGAGACCTTTCTATCGCTTATCACCCGTGCGAAAAATGCTGATTCACCGAGCTGTGGACACAGGTGCAGCCTCTGATATGCCGCACAACACAGCAACAGCGCATGCTCAGAAGGCGTTCCCCAGCCCAGCAGGCAAAGATGGCAGTGCGCAGAAGGCGATTTTTTTACAAAGGGCTATAGACCAACTCAAGTCTCTGACGTCACGCCACTGTGGTGGAGCTTCCGTCGGCACTGCGCATGCGCAGAAGCTTCGCCTCGCGCGAATCTAGTTTCCGCGCACGCGCAATGCCCACACCCAGTGTGGCCAAACGCGGGCTCGTTCATAAACACTCTGTGTATACGTATTGTACCGGGTGCGTCGCCCTTTAACGTTGAAAAGGTCTTGGCTCCTCCGATGTGCGAACCCTTGTTGTGGGTGACGGATTCTTTTGATTAACCCGCAGAGTCTCCTTTGTTCCGTTGCGCTGTGAAAGGGATAGGCTCGGTCCTTTTTGCCGATCAACATCTGATGCAAGGTCACGAGTACGCTCACGACTGTCGATAGCTATGCTTGATGGTCGTTAGGGAGGGTACGCGATTGGTACCCTGTTATCAACCACGATAATAACTACACTGAGGTGAAAACGTAGTCCAGGGAAAAGGAAAATAGACATGAAGGGGAAGAAAAGCCAAAACAGACGTCTTATTTTTGGAGCGTCTGTGTCGTTCGGGGTACCTAGAAAGAATAAACAAACATAACAAGGGAATACCTAAACTTTAATTTATTTTTCTTGGTGCTGTCCTTCACGTGTCACAGTATATTTCATTGGTTTGGGTATCCATCATGAACAGTCCCGTCCTGCAGCGGGAGATCGGTGGCTGTTGATATTGAAGATGACGAGGAGCCCAAGAGCCGCGTTCAGAAGCCCCGTTAAGGAAGTATCAACGGCTTAGCAGGGAATTATTTCGAAATCATGACAATTATCTTTCTAGTCTCTCTTCTACGAGTAGAATAGAATGCAAAGCTCTCCTTCTGATTTTAGATACCAGTAAGCTACTCTAGAGTTCACTGATGCTTGATGCAGATCCTTCAGCCCGGTCACGTTGTATCGCCGATTTTGGTCCTGTAGTAAGAAAAAAATAGTCAGTTCAAATGAATCAGCATCGCTTGAAGCCTTCCAATACAACCATGTATAACTGTCCTGCGTTACGCGAAAAAAAGAAAAAAGCCTGCCGCAACTTTGAAAGATACAAGTCATAGAAAAAAGTTGAGGCTCCAATTCACGCTGTGAAGGTGGTTGAACCAGGCTCACTCAGGCAGCGGCGCTCAAGGAAACCTCGGTAGAGGCCGCCAAGAGTCAGGATGACGTCAGGATGACGTCAAATATGTTGATCACCCTCTCCGGCAACTAGGACGGGTACAGCCGTTAACATCCATGTTTCCTCGGGGCGCTCTTTCAATGCTCAGGCGTAGGGTTCTTGTTTCCACCGCCTCAAAATATGGCGTTACGATCGACATTGCCGCCGGGCCGGTGACCATGGCAACGGCAGCAACGGTGCAACCGGTGCCACCGGTGCAACGGTCGCCGACAGCCGATGAGCGTGATCGTCAGCTCCGAGTGTTCTGCAGAAAACGTGGTGTTCGCTCGGTGTTCGCTCGGTCCGCGCCACGGTAATTTGACTTCGAAAGTTCTGGTGCTCTCGGAAGAGGATACCTTGGTGCTACTGCGCTGCGAAATGGTGCGGAAACTCCAGCAAGTCGAAAGTCTTGTCGTTCCTTCTATTCCGAAAGGTGTTCCGAAGCGAGAGGTAAAGTTTCGTTTTCCGTCGCTTTCGTTTCAAGCCCGTTCTGTGTGGTGCGATCCTGGTTGCGATTTTCGGTCTCGTGCGGCAGAAACCCCGTGAACGCAGCACTTAGCACATGTTTGTTTTCGTTTTTTCTTACGTATGAGCGATGTTGCACCTGAAATTTGCAGGCAGATCGACCCGTACCACGTGCTAGGCGCACAGGACGACACGGGCATTTTTGGTGCTCTCTTTTTGCTCACAGACCCTTGCCTTACTTTTGTGGGCGAGCTTGAGCGCTTTCTGGCGTGCATTCTCAATCTGGTGTACAAGGATGATGTGATGAAGAATCTTAGTGCTTTCATGACTTTCATGACAGAACAGTCGGAGACCTTCTCTGTCCAGCAATTGGCTAGAAGTTCCTCCAGATGTTCTGCTATGAACCCTGGTGAATTCACGCCTTTTAAAAGAAGAGATCTGCAAAAATCTCATTTGAAAAGGTCTGCACCTGATAGGAAAGCACAGAAACCGTAGAACAAGTCATCTATCAGCTGAACAACAAAAAGAAATATTATTTTTTTATTTTTTTTTGTCTACGAAACATTGAAGTTTCTGCTGATCAAACTGTGGTGGTGCGATGTCTTTTATAAATGTATATTTCTATCATTGTACTCTTTCTTGCTTCTCGTGCTATGTGTTCTCTTGTTCCGTAAATCTTGTTATCTGTATTTATCTTCCATTTTGTGTATGAGATCTGTGTAAATAATAAAGAATGCATGAAAAGTAAATGTGTGCTCCTTGCCTCCTACCCATGCTTGAGGAGCAGCTTCTCTGAAGTTGCGCTATAGTGGTTTATGAAAAAAAGACATAAAATAAAAGACCGAGAATACGAGAATGAAATTGACGAGAAATGAAATCAGAAAAGCAAACCGGGGGCGGGAGGGGGGGGGGGGGGGGGGGGGCAGCGAGCGGGGGCGAACCGGCCGCCTGGGACGCGACAGGACAACTTGCGCCATCTAGGGGCAAGTAGGGGCGGCTCGGAAGAGGCGGCGATTGCAACACCACGTTTTGGGGCGGCGGAAACAACAAGCGTACGCTAGGGCGCAGAAAGAGCTCCCTGAAGGACCATGGATATTAACGGCTCTACTCGTCCTAGTTGCCGGAGGGGGTGATCAACATATTTGACGTCGCCGTGACCTCACCCTACTTTTCTCTTTTTTTTTCGCTCATCGGTCGCTCTTTTCTCGCTTCTTCGCTCGCTCGGGCGCCCGGAGCGCGTTACAATAGCCAAGGCTACGGCTGCGCCGGCCTGGTTGGACAGCGAAGCTGTAGTATCAGCTGCAACGATTGCCCACTGCAGTTTTATGACAAACGCCACCACTTGGTGCTGCAGTGTTTGATGTGCCAGAGAACTCCCGGTTTGTAAAAAGAATGAACAAAGGCCGCCTTAACACCGCTGATTGAAATGTAGATAAAACGTTTAACCACCAATCCTCCAGGTGCATGCCAAAAGAAGGAAGGAGTGCGAGATCTGTTAAAATGTTTCGAGTATTCTTTTGAACCAACTTGACTCCTACAAGATGTAATATTGTACAGCTGAGGGCCCTCGGTAAATCTCCAACTTTGTTGTCCGTGTAGCATTTATGATTTCTAACACTGGTGACGTAAACAATCTCAACAGGCTTGCAAAGACGGCGCGACCGGAAGTCGCTTGGGACGCAAGTGGCAGTTCATGTTTGTAAACAGCAAAGAGTCTATACCGAATGATTCACGAAAGCAAGTAAATGCACTGTACCAAAACTTATTTATATATGAAAAACTTCATAGGCTGCCATTACCGCAGAAGCTTATGCAACCCCACCCTTTCCCGAGAAACGCATAAAAGGAGCGCTACGTGCATCGCATTGTTAGCAAGGCTAGTCACATCACTCCACACTTCGTACTCTGCCGGTGCCGCGGCAGTTTATGCAACCGCAATGTTTACTGAGAAAAGAATGCGGGTAGCGCTACGTGCTTATCATCGTTCGCGCGCGCCTTATAATCTATTACGTGGTTTTGATACTTGTTTGGTGGTTTCCCTTTTGAAACAAATGTCAAAACACATAATAAGAGATAAGGCATGCGCGCGCGCATGGGTTTTCTGTCGACGGACACGAAGAAATTCCACCTGCGAGTTATATAGAACTTGGCTGTAAAAGTGCTTCGTATAAACGCGAGCAAGAGCGCTCTGTCTACGAAACTACACTAAATTCTGATCAGCATCGCAGATGGGAACGTCGCAAGCACTACGTTATATCTGGGACGAGGTGGATATTAGTATCACAGAAATTGTTCCCATTGAATCGAATGTTGGGGTGACTGCAGGCAGCTTGCTGCACCAGCTCAAGATTATAGGAACATCCGTTTTGGTTTCTATACCTTAACTCGACGAGCGCCGCAGTATCTGTGTTACAAACAGATAGCATATGTACGAGGCAAATATCGCGCTGGGCAGCAAATGTCGGAAGTTTGGTAAGCAATCCGAAAACTGTATCGCAGTAAATGGCAACAGAACGAACGCGTCCCTGGAGATCTCTACACAGGACTTGATGGCTGCAGAATAGACTCCATGGATCGCGGATTTCATGGAGGTCACGCGGCTCCCAAAAGGTCAACGTTGAGCCAGACACACAGACAAAGATAATCAAACGTAAGCTCTGAAATACAGAGGAACAGTAAATAACTCATCAACCTAGATCATCCCGTCCTACTTCTCCCTGACCTCCAAAGTGAAGAGAGAGCCAATGACGATGAACAGGCCTCAAATACGGATAAGTACAACGCGCGGGAGGCACTAAAACAAAATTCATTATATACAAAAAAAAAAAAAAAAAAATTCCGGATTTTTTTTTTTTTAGTAGGCAGGAACCAGGAAAAGCGAGAAGACAGCAAAAACCTTTATCTTCTGTTTCTGTCATCGATCAGCGTTCCACCCTCAAAGATATGAAGGAAATTAAGTGCTCGCTATGGTTGGCCATAGGGTGCCTCCATGTGCGCTTAGCAAAGCGCACATGAAGGCTCCCTAGTTGGCCATCTACGACACACAGGGGATGCTAGTACCAGTGCTCCCCTCTTCGCTGCTCTGACACAGCTGCTCGGGACTCGCCACGCCCACACCGCCGCGTACCCCTCGTCAGCGAATGGCATGGAGGAGCAATTACACTCGCAGCTCAAGGCGGCGATCACGGCAAGGGACATGCGCCTTTGTTAAGTCGATCACCTACCTGCCTCTTGTCCTGCTCGGTATTCGGCCCGCGTTCAAACGAGACCTGAACCGCACTTCCGAGAAGCTTCATTTTCTTGGAGGCTTATTCGAAGCATTCGAAACCCTTTTAATTCCTTTTACCGCAAACGTACTTGGAACACTTGAGGGAAACCTTCCAGCAGCTACAAGAAAGCCCCCCCCCCCCCCCCCCCCCCCCAGCTCGGTTACCAATCTCCTAGAAGATATTCGTCAGTCAATAGTTAAAACATGCACACGTGCTTTTTTGCACAAGCAAGGTAAGAAGAGTTCGAAAGCGCCTTACGACAGACCACAATCTTTTATGCCGTACTGAGGAAACCATAATGACCCTCGACTTGCACAATCGAACAGAGGGCGTCGCAGTGGACCGCGTCGAGCGAGCCTTCCTAGGTGGCGCTCCGTTACACCTGGCTGTCCAGCATGCAGTCGCGTGTCGATCTGCTCGCCACTAATGCCCCTAAATAGGAAAGGTAGCGACACCTTCTTCTTTGACGCACACACCTTTTATCTTTATGTTTTGCTCTTTTACACCCGCGCGTCGACTGTGGCGCCGCCTAGATCGCTCCAAGCTAGCAAACGACTTTCCTATATTTGGTTTATACTTGAGTCAGAGCACAGTCAAAGGCTGAAAAACACGCAAATGCATACACACAGGATAAAAGCGCACTGTCACGGTCTACCAGCCTCGAAGGCTGTGCTCAAAGAAAGACGAAAGCCGTGACGTTGCACAGTCGGCGTTATTTGATTGGCGACATGAGCTCATAGCATGCACTGCACTCCGACAGCATAGGCATTCCTTCTCCCTCCTCCTCCCTTATGCACACTCTTATTGTCATATTTTGCTCTTTCGCGCTCGCGCGTCAACTTTAGCGCCGCCTGGATCGCTCCAAGATAGAAGGCGGCATTCTTCAAAGGATGTCGCTACTCGCCACACGCCAGAAAGCGTGTGTCATGGAGCGCGTGACTCGACGATCCAAAAACTGTTGACCCCTTCGTTTACTCCGCTTCATGCGGCTAGAGGAAGAGTACTGTGGTAAGCGCGGCTCGCGCTAACCTAACCCCCCCCCCCCCCCCCCAAAAAGAAAAAAAAAAAAATTTGATATATACATTTTTTTAATTATTATTTTGGTTTTAGCTCGCAGCACGAGCACACTGGGAAGGCTGACGCTCTTAGGAGCAGAGCGATTAAACAGTTCTGTCCCAGATGCCGTTGTCTTCTGAAGTTCCAGTTCCATACACCGAGGTTACGGTTGCGTGTAAAAGGATCCCCCTGTGCTCGAAATTAATTATGAGTTCTTCGCTGGGGCCAGCCTGATGCCTCCCATTGGTTCGGTCCATAAGACCTTTGCTGCATGTTTTCACTTCACCTTTCAAATGTGTAGCGAGTTTATTTGTGTTATTCGGCATAATAAAAGTAGAACATCTAAACATAATGCGGGTAATCCAGCGCAGGACAGCACAGACCAGAAGGAAGGAACAAACAGGGGTCAGGCGCTGATTCGCAACTGAAGGTTTAATTACAGAAAACATGAACCTTCAGTTGCGAGCCAGCGCCTGTCCCGTTCCGTTTGTTCCTTCCTTCTAGTCTTTGTCGTTCTGCGCTGTTTTCTCTATATTATGTTTAGCCTACACCAACTAGCCCAACTTTCAACTTTGGTTGAACATCTTCATTAAATGTACTACTCTAAATTTGGTGTCCTAATTCGATGGCGCACTCATTTATTTCACAGATTGGGAAACTTCAAGAATGTAGACCTGCAGTCCTTCAACTCTTCCAACTTTGGCTCGGGACTTGAAGGATACGCTAACTCTCTCTTCGATTCGTCATTGACCTGGCGTGACTTGCAATATCTAAAGAGCATTACTAGTTTGCCTGTTGTTGTGAAGGGCGTCATGACTGGTAAGTTGTCTTGCAATGTGCTCATTTCGAGGTCGTTAGCTGTAACCGATTACTTTTTGAACTAATTCTGTAATAATTTGATTGCATTTATTATATAGTAATCACAAGAATAATTAGATTACTTTTAAAAATAATAAAATTATTTTAACCGCTAAAATTGCTCCAATCCCCTAATCCTCTCCCCCTCGGTTTTCAAATTAGCACATTTTGAACCAAAAATGCTGCGAAGGTTACTTTATCAGCATTTAAATCTTGTGAACAACGAAGAGTAAAACGATTGTTACCGAGCTGTGAAAGTAGGCTAGACTCCAGAGAGTTTACATAGTGCTTTGTTCTGCTTTGAACTGGGACTTGGAAGTAAGAGTTCTCTACAAAAGCCTTTCAGTGCGAAGTCCGACGTTTATTGCAGCATCTTGGGGATCGGTGGCCGAGTGGGCTAGCGCACACCAGCTCGGAGCACGTGGAGCCAAAGCCCGCGCTGCCGAACCCAAAATCGTGGGTTCAATCCCCACCCCTGCCCGTTTCGATCTGGATGAGCATCGTACCGGCGTGCGGTCGTGTATCACTACTGCGTGATGCACGTTAAAGACCCCAAGCTAGCGGTTGTACTGCACTGTCTAAATTTATCATCTACAGCTGGGAGACTCGTCGCCCGTTGAGGCACACCAATTTCTAGGCTGTAGAAACATACACACAACGCATTTTTTTTTTTTTTTAACACACAGAGCGTAGTTTGTTTTTGCTCCTTTGAGAGCGAACTTCGAGCGGGAAGGAGCACGTGTGGTGGTGGCACGGGTCACAGCACTTGCCAGTACTCTCCACTCTGACCTCAAACGCCCGATTGGTAGTCTAGTGATGATGATGGGGTCTGGCGACGTCTACATGGTTCGGGACACCCTTAGGGTGATACGGCCCGTGTTAATTGAAGAGGTGAGTACGATCGGGAAAATGTGTATCGATAAGATCCACCATCGGCTAAGGCAAATACCACGTCACTTCGGTGAGCCATTGGGTGCTTTTGATATCATCCTCATGGACGATCTACCGCAGCTCCCCTCCGTAACAGCCACCGGAGCCCCACACGATGCATCTTTTAAACGCTCAACGGTTTTGCGAAACCGAGACTTCGTGCAAGCGGCTACTTCCCACGTCGAGTTTGATGCGCGGAATCTGTGACGTCTTGACTCACGAAAATTTCGCGATTCATTGTCTTCTGCATCGGGAATATCAAGCGTTTCGCGTCAAGATGAGATAAAGTACACTTACCGAGAGGAGTCTAGTCTCCTTTATTAATATTACTCGATATATTTCGACGGATTTCGCTCTAGGCCTGCCAAACCGGTGAAAGACTACGAAGATTTAAGAACAGGCAGATGATCTCGAATTATTTTGGAAATTGTGGCACTGCTAAAAGATCGGTTATTCCCAGTCATCACGTTTAATTGATAGTGCTTGCACTCGTCGCGACTGTTGTGAAATCTGCACCGCCGCCACCCAACCCGTACTGTTAACCCAAATCGCCCATACGCACCTCTTCTCCGCTTGTCCCTCGCCGCCGTGCTTTTTTTTTTTTTTTTTCTTACATGTTTTGGCTTTGATACGCCATAGGCCAAAAATCAGGCTCCTCCACTTGCTCGCTCCGCCTCGAAGGGAAGACGCCACAGCGATATTGAGTAGCCATTGGCAGCGTCCTCGTTTCCGGCTTCTGTGGTTTGAGCAAAATCTTGCTCCAAAAACGAGGACCTTGCGCAACTTTTTTTTTTGTTTGGATTCACGTCTTTTCTCATCTTATTCAAACGGCGCATCTTTTTCCTGAAACGTACAGTCGCCGTGGGAGAATAGCTCCACGCGAGCGCGCGTTTATTTCCGAGGGGCGCTCTACTGGTGACTTGCGATAATACTAGAGATGACGTCAGGGCGAGTCTACGCGGAGTGGACGAGGGAAGCCGCTCAATTCAAGGGAACCGTTGCTATCATCTCCCTAAGGGTGAGCGTAGTTCGAATGAAAATGGGAGATGATTCTGCAGAAGTTAGAAAATATGACGTGTTTCCTTCTCTCTTTCCAAACAGCCATCTAATTCGTGCGCGGCGATCCTGACTTCTGGAGAATCATCTCCCCTTTTCATTCGAACTACATTCAGGCGGTGGGGGCGTGCGGATGATAACAACGGTTCCCTTGACTTGAGACGGCTTCCCCCGTCCACTCTGCATGGACTCGGCCTGGCGTCATCCCTAGTTCTATCGCAAGCCACCAGTCAAGCGCCCCTCGGAAAAAAACGCGCGCTCGCGTGGAACTATTAACTCCCGCGACGACTGTACAGGGTCCTATAGAAAAAGGTAAACCCTGGTTTTAAGCCCACATAAATAAAGTATGCTTCGCAGAAAGCCGAAACTTTGTGAGAATGTGACATCACAAGACACTAAAGAAAAAAAAAAATCTGTATGAGCCGACGTTTACCTAAGGCCAATTTTTATTAAACTAAAATTGGAGATTGGGTGCCTGTAGCAATTATGTCAGTAAAAAACTTACCATGAAAAAAATATCGTCTTTCTAAGTGGCCAGTTTTGTTTTACTGAAATAATGTCTACAGGCTCCCACAATCTCAAATTACGGTTTGATGAACCGTAGTTAGATGTCGGCTCTTTGAAAATTGTTGTTTTTATTTTGTATCTTTTAATCCAGGTAACGTCATGTTCTCAAACTTGCGCATTTTGTCACCACCGCTACCGTCACATTCTCACGAAGTTTCAGCTCTCCGCGATGCGTAGTGTACTTATGCGGGTTAAAAAGCCGGGTTCAGCATTTTCGATCGGACGATATACTTTCACGACGCTAAACATGCCAAAAAGATGCACTTGTGAATAAATATATTTAACCCCATAAAGTAGAAAGAAACAAAAAAGCAGGACAACGCGAATCTCTAATTTCTAGAGATTCCTGTGACCTTGTCCCTTTGTTCTCCCACTCTCCAGGGTTAAAATAGCTCTTTACTAGCTCGCCTGCACCTTCGCATTAACTTCATTATAAACAGACCGTTGATCGATAATTCGGTTGCACGTCGAAAGATCCCCAGATGGTCAAAATAAATCATCAGTTCTTTGCTGAGGTGTGCCAGATGCCTTTCGTTATTTTGGAACGTAAAACCTCCAAATTTGACTTTTGATTTGTGAAAGTCATCGAGATAAACTGGCGGTGGAGGAGCAGCAATAGGGGCGTGTTTGAAGCCATACCATCGCGCATTTCTCGGTTTTATCCTCTGGTGCGCGTTGTGCGGCAAAATGACGAACGTTTGTGCGCATCGCATAGGTCTCCAAAATCGGGGACGGTGTGCCATTAACCGACGATGAGCTGAGAGCGATCAAGATCCGCTTTGTGTCAACAGAGTGATCGAGATTCGCTTCGTGTATAGTTGGTTGACGACTACTGCAAAGATACAGTGTGTCTCTTTGCAACCAGTGCAGCAGTTGACGACTACAACACCCATGTACTTGAATATCGCACCGACGCGTGTATGTGTGTAGGGGGTGGGATGTACTGCGTGGGACCACTACATCGAGCACCAGTATGTCCCAGAACCGGCTGATACTAAGGCGCGTGTGACCAAGGAGAGCACGTTCGAGACGCGGAGGAGGGTGTGGGAGATGACCTGCATGTTGTCTGCAAGCGCTGACGTCGTCAGTGGTGTCACAAAGGGAACTCCGGGTATACGGCACTATGAGGAACTGGAAGTAAAAAAATGGGCGGTATATGGTTACGATACGTCACGCGCAAAAGATGTGGTGCACACGGCACTTTCCCGAGTTACGTCTCAGACAGGCTATTTGAGTTTAACTCGGAAAAATCTTTTTTTTTTCTTTTTCTTTTTTTTAAGAAGGTGATGAGTTAGACGGGTGCCGTTTTCGCCATGTTTTTATCGGGGTTTTGCGGACATCAGGGAGAATTACCGTCACTGTAAGTTGGCTAATTAACTAAAACAGGTTGGAATCTTTTTAATTGTTTTATGCTTCATGTTGAACTGCGGTATTGGTGACAATTACTATCAGAGTCTAGACCTATTTAGAGGATATCCGAAGGGTATTCATTTTTTTACATATTCAGTGACAAATGTTCGCGATTGTTTGCCCGTTTTCAAAATTGCGTGCAACAAGAGCGACGCAAGTTCTGCTCACAATGACCTTTAGAGTAACATAGTCATTTACGTCACTTTGTCACTAGTGAGTTTTGGTATTGGGTATACGAGCAAACGCAAGGGCTGTGCGTTGGCGTTAGCGTTGTGTTCTCCACGCTGCGCATGCGCAAAGTCGTCATGCGCCAATCCAATGCCGCGGTATGGGCTCCGCGCACGCGCAGTGTGGAACACGCAACGCAAACGCACAGGGCTTGCGTTCGGTCGTATACTCAATACTAAAACTCACTATTATCATGATAGCGCGCCCTTGGTCGATGCGTTGATGACACTCCCGAGACAGTGACGATGTAACTGAAACGATTACGCCACTCTTCTGAACGTCGTTCTAAGCTTTGGGCGCTCTTTTTGCGCTCAATTTTAAAATTGGGCGAAAAAACGCAGTGACGTATCGATGAAGATCTAAATAACTTAGGATAAGGAAAGAGGAACATTAAAGACAAACAGACAAGATAACCCAACACGCCCAACCATCTACACCTAGATAACCATTGTTTTTTTTTTAATTGTTCATTTAGTCTGGTCTCTAATAGGAATTGCAATCAAAGCTGTAATTCCCACATTACCCATACGACTGTTAATAAAAAAGACTAATGAACAGATCTTAGTTAATTGGTCAACTTACCCAAAGGTTATTCCCTCAACGAACTTGCGCCGACCCAGACAAATGCATGGTGAAGGCGGCATCCGTTTGACTCTTATTCCACTTTCTTTTCTTTTTTTAATATGTACGAATTAAAATTAAACACCGTGTATACAAGTATATTGAACGCCATGGGCGACAACCGCTCCACGATACCAATGGTTGTGTGGATCGGTGGGGACCAACACCTACTATAGCGTAATCGACGCTATAGTTGGTGACAGATTGAAAATTCAGAGGACACTCATCCCACTCCTTTCCTCTTTAGCAGAGCGAACGCTCGAGAGGAGGCGACCTCCTCTTCATTATTTGCACCGCTAAAGTGGAAAGTGGTGGGAGGAGCTTCCTCTGAACTCTTAACCTGTCGCTGACTATACCTCGTCACATTGGCAAAGCGGTGTGAGCAGCTTGTCCGACGTGCAGTCACTGGGGAGGCATGCGGAAGGCGTGAGCCTGAAAAGTGTTAGCCATTGAGCACATGCAGGCGTTGGAAAAAACCTGGACGTACCACTGCGATGCACCCGTGAACCGTCTCAACCTCTGACTGCGTGGTCCGGAGATGCGACGCGAGCAAAGAACCGCTGGTGTGGCGATTTAAAGACGCCAAGGTGACAATGTGTACTGTTTTGTGACAGCGAGTGAAGACTTTGAGTGTGACGACGCGGAGCATAAACACGGGGACGTGTGAGCGCTGTAAATTACCATCAGCGGCAGGTGCGTGGATATGGTCTGCATATCTTCAAATACGAGTATGATTTACACCAAGCGCTTGCTCGCCGCCCGGAGAAAATGCCGCGGTGGCGATACCACTCGTGGTAATGAGGAATGTTAACACAATTCTGCTGTACACGATGTGACGGCTGCTCCGCTTTATACGGATGTGGATTGCGCTGGATCTCGTTTCCGATGCACAAGAGCCGACCACACGCAACAACTTAAAATTATGACGCCGAACCTGGAAAAAAAAAAAAAAGAAATGCTTGGCACAGCCTGCATGTACTGTGTCATACTTCTTGATCCCCAGATTTCCAGGCTGTCATCACCGCGGCGAAAGACAGCGATGATGACTACACCATGGGGAATATCGAAGAAGGTGTGCTGACACATGGCTGTGATTTAACGTCATTAATGAAAGCATGTCATGCTTTCGACACAAGTGTCGGAGAAAGGGCCTTACTTTTTTTATAGCCTATGAGTCTGATGATAAAGTCTACCTACATTATGCTGTCAGACATACGGCAGCAGCAGTCTTTGACAACACATTACCTCCAATATGGTGTGTTTTTTTTCTAAACCGACCAAGAGCTAACTGCGCCTAGACGTGCGGCTCTCAAATCAGCTTCTACCTTACCTCAAAGAATTTTCATATATTTTGTGGAATTGGCCAGTTACAATAGCAAATCGAACCAACTACGTCTTGATTACGCAGCCCGGGTCACCCAATAACATGAAATCACTTCCGCTGCTTAAATGTTTGCATGAAGCTGCTTAAAGACAACGACCTAAGAGCTTTATTGCTTACCGATTTGCAAGAACCTGGAAATAATTCCCGTTGCTTAAGGATCTGTATGACGTGATTGGCCACTTTTATGCTAGTTGGTTTTGACTGTCCTTTCAATCTTTTACTCCTCCTTCAGCGTCGAGCTTGTTTGTTCCACCATGGCCTCCGAGATTTCTCTACTCCGGCCTGTCCAAACGCACAAGTGCCCAGCAGATAAAAAAAAAAACCGAGTTGAGCCAGTTTTTTTAGATTTCCAAATGGTGCGTTTATAACCGAAACAGGAAAAGAAACAGAATCGCCTAAAAGCCCAATGTCAAGTGTGGGGTCGCAGCATGAAGCTTGCATCTTCATTGTTCTCATCATCAGAATAGAGACAGGTCGAACTCTGTTAATTCGTAATTTGTATTCGCTGCTCCGGTCTTTGCACTCTTCCGCTGGATGATACCCCAGAATAGAAGGTTTAACGCGAATCTATTGATTGTGCAAACAGCGCGAAAACACGAGGACGTAGACAAAAAAGAAACACACGGGACACGTGCTATCAACGGACGAATTTCATTAGAAAGACACACAAAAATGGCCCTTCATTCTATGGCAGCATTACATGACAATGTCACAATGAGTTTCCACCAACTCGCCCAACTATCCATTCTTGTAATGCGAATCTATATTTGTCCTCTGCGGATGCTGTATGAACCGACATGACAAGCATAGAAATATTTTCTGTCGTTACGCATGAGAACAGCTTTCTGAACTTCACTTACGTGCACGGACATTTCTTCTACACCTTTCACCCCTTGGAAAGATGAACCTTCAAATTTCGGACTTGTTTATTGTCAAAGGACTGTGTGTTACGGTGAGAGGCGGGGAGCACATTTTGCGCTGTTCCTAAGTTCCGTAGACCGACAATAATTGTGATGATGATGATGATTCCCGGCTATATCTTTGTATTGTTTGGTTTTGGTGGCGAGCGCCTCCAAGCGCCTCACAGTAACAGTCTCTACCGGCGAATGCAATGGCCTGAGGGGCATAGCCATCGCGTACAAAATGTCGGAGGCCATGGTCGTTCCACCCGCCTCGCTTCCCGCCACACTTTTCAGGACGAGAAACGTCTGTGTGGGAGGCAACCGCTTTGTCTCCTGATCCGATTTTCGAGTCTTACAATAAAATAAAACAGAACGGAATTCGTTATAATTCAACCATATTCAGTAGTCATGGTATCAGACGACCTCAAATATCCAATAAAAAGCGTTTAGCTGGATATGACAAGTTGCCCAGGTTTTACTAAATGTAGAAATGAAGCTTCCAAATTTTCAAGGTACAAGTACAACAGTAAAAGAGCGAGCTTCTGCCACGCAATATACCAATAGCTAGTGTTGTGCCCTCCTTGCAGCTGAAGATGCCTTACTGGCTAAAGCGTCTGGAGCATCCGCAATATTCGTTTCCAATCACGGCGGCCGGCAACTGGACGGAGTAGCTGCAACGGTAAGTTTCCACGTTTCTATACTGCGGCTTGGGTTACTTATTTCGCTTAATTCTGTGATTGAGATGTTCAGAGTATATTGATTTAATTAAAAAAAAAACCAAAACTGGTAACGTATAAAAAAAGTTTGCAAACCAGATTTGTATTTAAACAGACATGATTCCGCTCTCTGAATCCATTTATTAAAGTTCACTCATCATGTAAACACACGCTGCTAGGTCACAACAGTTGTCAAAAACAGAAGGTCAACTTCACAAGTTTATGAAAATGTTCTCGTAGATCAAGGTCGGTCACCTTATTGTTTTCCAGCGGCGCGTTTAAGTACCATCATTTCCTATAGATATCGTAATCTTTTTCGTAACATTCATTCGTAAGTACAACAAAAACTGTTATCGTCATCGAGGGGAATAACAAAAATGAGAAAGCTAGGCATATTCCAGCTTTAGCAGATTACCTGATACGCTTAGAACATCCGTTAGTTGACGAATACGGCCTTTGCTTCAAAATACATCAACTTCATCCTCATGCAAGGATTTCAAAAATATTTAAAAACTAAGTAATTTAAAAAAAAAGGAGAAAAAAAAACACGGAACTTTACGGAAACAAACTGCCAGCCATGCCGATTTCCTACGAGGGATAGAGGCCGCCTCTCTTCCCTCGGAAGCTGGAGGGAAGTAGGGCGCACGTGCATTGCGTGTCTTAGCCACAAGGGAGCAGGACCGCTGGCGCAAGAATGCGCTCTAATAGAAGACCGAAACCTAAAAACGCGTCCAAAATTGAGTGTGCCTCTGTTTTCTCGTTCGAACGCCGTAAAATGCTGAAAAGCTTTCTTAAATGAGTTGATTTGGTGGTTTTCGATTATGCTTAGCAAGTTTCTCATTGGACCCATATGTTTACTTTTGTGAATTAAAGTTAAGTGGTAAATTTTAGTTAATTATATAGCTAATGAGTATGTCTTTTTGCAACTCTTGATATCTGCCGTGTCTGGTTGTTTGTTCCCAGGGAGAGTTTTATTTTTCCCCCAACCACCCTATTTTTAGGGATTTTTGAAAGCCAATTCGTTGAAACATTCGGTATAAAACTTTAACATCGTTTACTGCAGGAGACATATAAACGACGAAAACAGTCGCTGCGCAGCTGTTTCTATAGCAACTTGCGCGGACGTTGTGACGTGGCGGCATGGTATAGGTCGACGTCACTGCGTTTGTAACAATAGTAATGGAACTTGCCGCGCGGCGCCCGTTTTTGCCGCTCATTTGTCCCCTGATTAAAGGGAAGCTGAAGCGGTTCTGCATTTCAGTAAAAAGACTTAAATCATCTTCTTTGACTTCCAGGATCACGAACATCAAGATTATGTTTCAATTTGGTGCACGGAGGCTGCAGAAAATCATTTTTTTAAGTATAATATAAAACATTGTGTGTGTTAAAAATCTTTGTTGGGCATTGGGTTGACCGATTTACTAAAGCGAAGTCGGCGGCACAATGTGCGGCACATTGCCGACATGGGGGCTTTTTCGGCAGCCAAGACTGCAATGTCGGCGATAGTATTAAGCCCTTGTGCCAGCGTCTGCTTTCTTCGTTCGCAAATTCCTTGGTAGGAGGGTTGTGGAGGACAAATAGCGACATCAGGAAGGGGAGGGGAAAAAATGCGGCTAGGAGTAATTTCATTACTTTCAAAAGTAATAAGATCACACTTAGTAGTAAATCCCTACTATACTACTGAATGTAGCAGCCAAGCCCTTATTCCCTCTAGAATTTCTCGCTCTTTCATCCTTTCCGCGAGTTTCTCACTCCCTCATTTCGACGCTAGCGCCTCCTAGGCTGCCCTTCAGTCGAGTTCCGCGACAGGTGGCTGCTGGCAAACCCTTGCTGGATCGGTGCTTTCTGCGGGATTTCGACTCGCAGTTTTCGTGCTTTGGCTAGGATATGAGCGGCCGGTGCCCCTGACGTATTTGCTACTGGCTATGTCTTTCCATTGCTTCACGTTTGGAGCTGGCACGCGAGTTTTGTCGAGGTTCGCCTGCGTGTCTGCTCGGATCGTTCGGTTCGAGATCAGGTGCAGCCTTCCGCTTAAACATTCATAAAATAAACTGCGGGATAGATCGTCCTAATCTTATTACATATACGGCAGACGGGCAAGCCAAGGCGATAAGCGCACACGGTCCTGTTACGGAATGCGAAGCCGTGACTTTAGGCTCCTTTTCAAGACAGTCGGCAACAAATATCATCACTTATGCCTTTTTGTTTCTGCGTTTACACGCCCAGGTGACGATAAGATGAAAAACCAACGCCCCGTAATAGAAGCAGGTCGATGACGTTTGTAAAACGAAAACACACGACATACGCTCCACCGATATATATCACCGACCGTGTATTTTCTGCACCGACGGTGCAGAAAATACACCGTCGGTGGCGTGACGAAAAAAGCTGGCGTCGGTGGCGTGCCGCGTAAATTCTGAGTGGTCGATCCTGTCATGACGTCACATCCACATGACCTCGCGCGGGAATTTCAAACAACCCACAACGTTCATGTGAAACATGACGTCACGCGTGGAATAAAAGTGAATAAAAACGTGACATGTAATGCGAATGAAAGGTCGCCGTATGCCCCCAATCGATTTCACTCTATAAACTAATTCATTTGCCTTAACGAAATATTTGGACAATTTTACGCCGAGATTCGAACCCACGACCCTTCGTTCGCGAGCCAGACACGCTACTACATAGGCCACGCAAGGCACTCTTGCCCGGCTCGGGAACGAGTGGGGGTTTATATGCTTATATGTTTCGCTATCGCGTTTCCTCTTAATAACGAAGCTTAAGCGTCCTCCAAGTGTTTATACGTATGCACGCCGCCGGAGAATGCACGGCTGCGACATGGGAGGACACAAATGGAGGACGGAAGTGGCGAACCGGAAGCGGAGGACACTCGGCCAATCGATGGTAGTGGAAAAGGTAACTTTGAAGAGGAGAAGGAGGATATTTTATAGAGGGTCAAAGTGTGTCAGAGGATCAATCAATTGATGTGGCTTGTAGCACTACCTCCCAATAAGCGCAGCGAGCAGATGGAGGGGTGAGTCGTCTGCTCGCTGCGCTATGAGCTCAGTCTGTTCGTATATAATGAACCACTACGCTTTGTGCTCAATACAATGGGTCCTGATGTTCCATCATGTTTCAGATTGAAGTCTTACCGGAGGTAGTCGCTGCCGTTGGTAAACACATGGACGTATATCTAGACGGTGGTGTGATGTACGGCACCGATGTCATCAAGGCACTCGCTATAGGAGCCAAGGCTGTGTTCGTGGGACGGCCCGCCCTCTGGAGTCTGTCGTACAAGGTATGTACAAAAGATTTGCCCGATCCGCGCTCCCGCCGGTGACATACACGGGTGGAGAAAAGGGGAGATTTTTTCAGAGTTGGGAGCAGAGAGTCGCCTTCTGAAACTCGCGCAACCGGCGTAATTCTGAAAGGCAATACCTCCACGTAATTTGTGTTTATAAAACATGTTGGCTAGCAGTTCAGAAAGGGCGCAGTTGATTCGATCTGCGAATTACCAGCTAAATCAGAGTATAAAAATATCGGCGGGTTTCTCTTTAACACATGGCATTCTCTACAGGGCCAAAAAGGCGTTACAAAAATGTTCGAAATATTCAAGGAAGAAATCGATCGGACACTGGCGCTTATAGGTAAGTGTTGTGTTCTTACCAGATTGTAGCCAAAATAAAAATGCCTCGCAGAGGGACTGAAACACGTACGTCTACAAAAATGTGACGTTTTGTGTTTTTTCTTTTTCTTATGTAATAACCAAAATGAAGGTTACCGCAAAGTTTATTTTCATGTATCACTACGCAATCCCGGAAGGAGATAGAGATGGACGAAGATATCCCGGAGATACTTCTGCAGAAACGGCAAAAAATATTCCAGAATACAGACACAAATACATTATTCACTACTTTTTTTTTCTCGGACAAGGCCATGCTCCGCAAGCACATTTAATTATGCAGTGCATTTCAAACAACGTCATATATATCGCAATGTAAAGTACGGCACGATATAGGAACATTCGAATTCTCAAGCAAGACACGTGTTTGTTTTATCAGACTTCGGCACTCACATGGGTCTTTTTTAATCTTGCTAAACACGGGGAATCATCGTTTTCGGAGTTGTATAGAATGTGGACGTGGTCTGCTCAAAATGGGTCCTGTCTTGCCTCCTTTCCTGTTTGGAACATCATGATTTTGAGGATTTTTTTTCAGCAACTTGAAATGAGAGTACGTCGCAAAATAGTCATCTTAAGTGCGTCTAAAGTCAGTGCCGGGTTATGAAAAGTTTTCTGGCTGGAGAGGAGGAACCAGACGCAATGCCGAAGAGAAGAGGTTCGCTCCTCCCCTCTCCAGCATTTCGTCTGCTTCCTCGTCCCCTGCCCTCCTTTCTGTGGAAATATGTTTTTAACCTGTAACTGACTATAGTTTTCAGTGACTCAGGAAGGAGAGAGTGGGAGGGGGGTAGAAAAAGAGATCGAACGAGAAAGCCGGACCGATGGAATCTACAGGAAATAATACCAGGGAAAAACGACTAACTCAACTGTCATTCTTCGAAATATATTTGTTTGTTACTTTGAGCAATATACATAGTTATCTCCCACCCACCCTCTCCCTTCTTTTCGTTTCTAGAGAAGGTCACGTGGAGGTGACATAAAATTGGAGGCCCCTCGCACCAGCCAAATCTTAACAAATGTATCGAGATATCTAAGCCTTTCAAAGTTTCGCGATACAATCGACACATCGTAGAACTATTTCACTATTGAGATACAAATACATTTCTCAAATGCGTCTCAATAAAGAGATACAGATACTCGAAAGTATCTCTAAGGTACTATCGCGATACATTTGCATCGCGATTCCAGCTTTGTTATTACACATAGGCAGAGAGCATAAAAACGTCCTTGTTACACAGACTCGCAAGACGCAGACTAAGCTTGCAAGAAATATCACACTATCAGCTCCATAATTAAAATAATTTTCAAAATGCCTCTAGGACTACACTCCAACAACGGCACACACGAGAGCATACGATGGATACCACTGGGTCGCTCGGGTATCTCTTGAAATGAAGTCGCCTACTTCGTAGTAGAAGAATTAATGAATTAATGTAATTATGTTTTCCGTGCAAGAATACAAGTAGCATATGCCGGCACGACTTCCGCGCTTGATATATTCTTGGTTTATCTTCCGACGGACCCCATGGCGACCTTGCGTGTCGGGACCATGCCGTCTCGTTACAAAAATTGCGTGGCAATGATTTACTCACCGAACTAACACACATCATAAAAAAAACGCATTTACAAGTGGGTTTTTACGTCGACGGTGTTGCTTCTGAAGTCGTGAAGATCACGAAGGTCAGGAAATGCACCTTCCGACTTCATACTTGTCGGATACTGCACTGGTTTCCCGTACTCTGCCACGGCAAAGGGGTTCCATCATGTGGTTACATACACTCAGAACCCTATTACTGTCTGAGTGATCCATAAGTGCAGAAGAGTGATCCATAAATTCAGAAGAGTTAAGTTTCAAACCTTTCTCAATACAGTGGCATCCGCGACAGGACGATACACTATGGAATATTGGGGAGTCTTCGCTCTGCAATAGATTTGAATAGCCTGCTAGAACTTGGAACGTAGATAGGTACGCACAGGAAAGTCAGGGTCAAAAGAATGGGACAACAAACAATTAACTTATGAACGTGAGCTTGAACTTGAGAAGAGGGCTCTCGATATGGCTGAGAAAAATAAAAAAATGAAAGTCTTAAGCAAAATGGCAGCGATTAAAGAGCGAGTGGGTCCACTTTGTCGTAAGTTAGCCGAGCTACAGGGAAAAACCAATATCTCGAGTGCGGCATAGTATTCTTCCATTCCAAAACGCGGTTGCCACTTCAGGATCGAGTTGGCGATCAGTCATTTTTCTCAAGATATAACTGAGGATGGTGCATAATACAGAACATCTGGTCGTGCCAGTAGGTGCCATGAGCGTATATGGAGGTGATGTTGCAGATTCGCTAGACGAAACGATGGTTTCGATTGCAGTGGGACGTAAAGGAGTAAAGTGCAATGTTCTGGAGCAGGAACAAAAGAGAGAAGGGGGATTTTGAGGTTTGCCCACGCTTTATTTCGCCGGCTCAATGCAGTCAGGTGAAGACAGGTGGTACTTGAAAGTTTTAAAAGGAAATCTATTCCCTCCGTCAAGAAGACAGGAATGGGGCAAGGGCAAGGCAAGTCCCAGTGTAGGCATTTGCTGACACGAGGAGCAACGGCCGCGACATGTTAACATGCTGCTTGTGTCGCAGAAGGTGAAACGCAGAGCAAAAAGTCGATATATTTAGACTGGCGTATAACACGAAGACGTTGCCTAATACCCGGAGAAAAAAGCAGCGTTGAATTTCTCATGTTTTGCATTTGAAGTACGAGCGTAGTATCATTGTTTTCATCTCCTTCGTTTTCTTTCAATCGCGTGAAACTGTTTCTAGCTTGTTGAAGCTGGAGTTGACTTTATTCTTATCTATCCAGACGAACTCATTCACAATTATAGCCGCGTTTACATGAATGCGACTTCGTGGCATCGAATCCAGTTGTCGCATTCAATGCGGTCACATAAACGGCATAATGCTCAAAGAAAGCGCATCGCATTCAAGTCGCTGGACAGAGGTGGATCGAGATGGCGATTGCGCATTCATTCAGCCCATGTAAACGGAGGTCGCATCGCATTTTCGAACGGGGAGGATTATGGGAAGGCGCTCGCTGCGGGAGCGAGTGAACAGTTGAGAACATGGCGGCGGCCAACCTTGTCGGCGGCGCGGAGAGCGGTCCCATATGGTCGCCCGCAATTTTTTCCCGAGAGCAAACGCGAGCTTTCATTGCCACCATAAGTAAGCGGAACATAGCGGAGCTGCTCGGTGAGGGCGACCCCCGTCCAAGCCTCGTGAAGTACGACTTGCGCGTCCGAAGGGGTCCCAAAGGCTTCGGCGCAAGCACGAACGACACCGAGAGCTCCGAGCACTGCAGAGCACTGCATGGTAGCGCAGAATGAGCATCTCCTACCTTGGTGCCGTTCCTGGCTGCGCAGGAGCCTTTCGGACTGGGGGTCCGGTTGGTCCGGTCGTGATCAGCGAGGTCTGGCGCGACGAAGCGCGGAGGCGTCCTCAAAGCGTGCGCACACACGTCGCCTTTGGTCCAGAGTGACCCGGCGGCCCGGCCTGGAGCCCTAAGCGCTTGGGTTTTGATGTTTCTTCCGTCTCGTAACTTCTTCCACAGCACCGAAGACAGCGGGCACGATCTTTACGTTCACTGAACGCGTCGAAAGGCCTCCACGTGCGATGCACCGGAAAACGTGGTACGGCTGGTGCCGGAACTGCATAACTTCGAGCTTTGACACGGCGCGGCGCCACCTTCGTATAGGGCTTGCTGCGAATTCATGTAAACGTTGCCGCGTCGGCTTCGTTCGAAGAACGAGTGGATTCGATGCGCTAAAGTCGCCTTTACGTAAACGAGGCTTATGTCAGGTTAGAATATTTTATCCTTTGACGACTGGAGTGGTAAATCAGGTATCTCTTCGAGGGATTGGTAGTCAATGCCGCAATGTGGACCGCGAAGTCCATGGAGGAGATGTTCATAGACATGGAGTCAATATTTTCAAATCAACAAATTCACGTCATGAAAAAAGGATAACACCTATGAATCCGGATTCTCACGAGGGAGATAAATTTTTGTAACCGGTTTTGTTCAAAGTTTTTTTTTATTTTTTTTTTTGTTAATACGCTTTACTTAATCTTTTTTTTTTTTTACGTGCTGTGTACCTTAGCGTCTGGAAGTGAATTGGAGCTTTGATATCGTGGGCGTCTAGTGTATGGGTCAAAACAATCGTTTTGAATTGAACGTCATGAACTTATGCATGGACATATAGTCGTGACTACTGCTGGTGCTAGTGATGGGGCTTTGTACTGCGCGTGCACTGAATTACACTTGCGATGGTATTGTTCAGAATACTGTCTGTAAAAGAACTAAGCTGTAAAATATATTCTGTATCTTACAGCTTAGTCGACTTTGTGCGCTTTTGACAGCACATGTCTTGGCTTTTTTTCTTCAAAAAAAACTGGAAAAGGGGGCTCTTCTTATGGTCGTTTCCGCAGCATTGAAGAGAGGAAGCCCCAGGAGAAGTTCGCATGAGCGGAGGCAGCGCGCCGAAATATTTGGGACAAGCAGTGACGAAGCCCGAAGCCGCCGCAGTTACCTCTGTCGGGGTGCCCAGACCCCAAGAGACTTAGCATTGCTATCTTCTAAACGGTCCAGGCGCCGACCTACCAGAAGTCGACTCGACTGCGCGGGAGGCAATGAGCAATAAAAGGCATTACTCCTACCAGCTGAAATCCGATGGCCTCATCGGATTTCAGATGATTGGCCGCCCGACGATTGGCATCCCCATGACACCTCCATCAATTTGTCGTGATCAACACGAAGCCAGCTGTCAGCATCCTTCAACACGAAGCCAACTGTCAGCATCCTTCAACCGGACTCTAAAAACTTCCAGCCTGCAAGCTTCTCTCTCCCTTCCCTTCAATGCTCCGGGAACGACCATGACAGCCTTATTAATTCTGAAAGGCGCAGGCACCTCCGAAAACATGTTCGCGAGCAATG